GTGCAAAGAAAAATCAATGCCTTTTTTCACTTGGAAAAAAGGCAGCTGAAACATTTGCTCAGTACACTGAAGTATGCAATTTCTAACCCCTAACATACACTTTTGAGCCTGTAGTTCCATTTCATGGATTTCCTAATAGAAAATATGGATTAAATGGGCTCCTTGCTGCTCTTATTTTGGGGCTATTTTTCATTTTACTGCCCTGGGTTATAGTTCAGCCCTATGTGTTAGTAGAGCTGGGGGTGTGGTAGAAAGGAAACTTTCCTCTGTAAGTAACTGTGTCTTTTCAGTTTCAGCCTCACTCTCTGCTCCACCCTTTTCCTCTATTTTTTTCTCACAGCTAACTTGGCCCCAAAACTGAGCCAAGACATTTTACCTTTATCTCTCTGTTATAGGAGTTTTGTATTTTACACAGTTTCTGATGGATTTTTGCCCACCTCACTAACATCTCGTATTGCCTCCAAGGTTGTTGAGGCAATAAAGCTTGTTCAAACCAAAACTGAAAGATGGAAGGGAGGCTACCAAAGGCTTCAGTGTGCAAATGAGCTCCACTATGCCTTGTGCTTGATAAAAATGCTGCATCTGAGGTTTACAGCATGGGAGGCTCTTGAGGCTCTGTCTTAGTCATATTTGCTCTTGTCAGTTATTTACCTTTGTCCTAAATTTCAGGTTTAACAACTTGCAATGGGACATCAAAAACTTCCAACTTGTTTTTTTTTCCTAGATCTGACATGCCAGGTGGGAGGTAAAACTTGAATGTGCATGTAGCTCTGCATTTTGAAGTACAGAAAAATAGCTGTAATCTACAATATGTACCTGTACTTAGGGAGAGACCTGATTTTTTACAGGGTGCTGATTAAAAGGAAACCACCGTGTGAAACTAAACTGTTTTTACATGGACAGTGTAAAAACCTCTTAACTCCTCCTTCTTAACTATTAACTGTCCTTTTTCTCTTTTAATTTCACAATGTCACAGGCCCATGAATACATTGATGCTCAAAGGCCAGTTCAGTTTTGCTGAAATTCACTCCTGGGTTGTGTTTTGCTTGCCTGAGGTGCCTGAAAAGACTCCTGCTGGAGAGTGCATCACCTTTTATTTTCAGAACACTTTCCTGGGAACACAGCTTGAAAGTACCTACAGGTAAAATACCATGACTAAACCTAATGCATGCATGTGTATTCAAGTTGATTTTAAATTGTTCTTCTTTTATAGAAAAGGCGAGGGATATTTTAAGTCTGACAATATCTCTACAATATCCATCCTCAAAGATGTGCTTTCCAAAGAAGCTACTAAAAGGAAGATTAATCTCAACATATCATATGGTAAAAATTCTTCTCTGTTTTGTTGTCCTTCAGTTCATTTGTTATTCCCCTAAATGGAAGATGTAGTACTCATTTGCTTGTTTGTGTTCTTTTTTACTCCCTGCTAGATGTAAATGAGGAATCTGTGAGGCACACATTAAAGCTTATCCACCCTAAATTAGAGTATCAGCAGCTGCTAGCCAAGAAGGTGCACTTAATAGATGCTTTGAGAGTAAGTATCTGAACTCTTGGAGTTTGGTTTTTATGGGAGGTTATGCTGTCAGATACAAAACTGTGGCTCAAGTCAGGTGTGTGTCATGTGGGGTCTGTTCCCTTACATTAAATTAAAGCATGCATTTTAAGTGTCTAAGAGGCAAATTTCTTCAAGGAAAATTCTCTTTTTTGCTGTATTACTAGTGAATGACATGTAGGATTACTGAACATGCTTAAATTGGATGATAGAAGAACAGCCAGGTTTATCATCTAATATTCTCTCCTAGCCTGCTGTTATTTTCCAGCTGCTTCTGTCCCTCTTCCTCCTAATATTTATAGTTTTTTAGGTCATCCAGGCCAGATGCAACTTCTTTGCTTTGGAACTTCATCCCAGTGTCTCACAATTTCTAAATCATCTGCTTTTGAATCTTTTCCTTAATACCTTCCTCAATAGCCTTTGGGAGGTACCAGTTAGGCAGCTCATCTCAGTTCTTAGAGATTCCAACAATCAGGATTTTCCTGTCACCATCATCAAGTTCTTTTGTTTGTTTTTTTTTTTAATTTAATGGGAATGGAGGTGAAAATGTTCAACCAGTTCTGTCATGCTTTTGGGGCAATCAAATGCTTGTCAGAGCTCTTCAGATAGTAGAAAAAGCTGGCTACCAATGAGAACAGTATGATTCTTTATTATCACTTAAAAGGTTTTACTTGGGCTGGTTTTGGGATTTAAACAATATTTTTTGGGCAAACCAGGGATTTAAACAGTAATAGAGAATTAATTCTTAATGCACATTGTCTTTTGCAATAATAATGGTGTTGTACATCTTGCTTGTTTTAGACAGCAAATCTCTGACAAATTTTTTGGTCACTCATTTTTTCGATGGTAACCTATTGACAGGCAGTAAAATAATGTAAAGATTGATGAAAGCTGGTATCCCAGCAGACTCATGGTGCACAACATAATTACCTCTTGTCTAGGGGAGAAGTGCATTTCTCTGGAGGATAAAAAGATCTGTATTATCAACCATGACAAACTGGTCTGCTGATAGACTGAGTTTTTTCAGAAGGGGCATTCAAAACTTCTTGCTGTCACAAATTCAGTGATACTTTCAGAGTTTACTTTCACCTTCAGACTTCACTGAGTGCTACACTTTTTAGGAATTCACTTATACTAAAAATGAAGGTGTGGTCAAGGCTTGAGTCTGCATGGTGTGATCCTGTTCTGGCTGAGAGCTGGAAGCTGAAATATGCAGGATTTTGAGAATCCAGTCTATGAAGGGACATCTGGCATTTCATTAGAAGCCTAGAAAATGAGGGACTCTGAAAATAACACTTGCTGGTTTAGAAGGGGATTGTCTTGCCTCTGAAGTACTTCCTTCTGACATATCTAAGCTTAATTTCTTCTTACTTACCTGCTCTTATGATACTTACCTGCTGTTAGCTCTTACCATTTTAAACTGTCTTTGAGGAGTTACAAGTTCATGAAGGCAACGTGGACTTCCTGCTCCCAAAATACCGCAGCATTTTGGAAGAGGCAGATCAGCTGCTGGAGGAATACAAGAGACAACCTGCACATCTCGAGAGACTTTATGGTTTGTTGACAATTCAGCTTTATTTAAATGGAGCTTAATGTCCAGAGACATGGCTGAAATAGCTGCTTGTATTTACATGATTCTTGTCTTTGTGGACATGTTTAAAGATTGTGTTCAAATTCAGGGTGGCACTTAAGAATGTATAAAAGGTAAGTGGCTTGGATTTGTTTACAATTAAACCATTGTTTAAAACATGAACTTTAAAAACTCTTCTAACCACTAGAATACTTGGTACATAATCATGAATTAAAAGTAGACATACCTCTTACTGAAAATAAATAGTAATTCCTGGAATTTTATCTTTACAGGTATGATCACAGATCTCTTCATAGATAAATTTAAATTTAAAGGCACCAATGTGAAAACCAAAGTTCCTCTCCTTCTGGAAATTCTGGATGGCTGTGATCAAGATGGATTGATCGCTTTTTTTGATGCCGCCTGACAAGGAAAAAGCAGAGTAATTTTTCTGGTTTTAACCAAGGCATTTTGGTATCAAGTCAAAAACACTTTTACTCTTTTGTTGTACTGTCAGCTCTTAGGTTTTATTCATATTTATTATCATATTGGATACAGTAGGAAACTTCACATAAACTGTTGTGTATGTTAACTGTGTGCAGAGGTTTTATGTACCATGTTAATAGCTCAAGAAAGATCAGATGTAAATACCAAATATCCTTTTGGGAAAAATGTTTTCACTACTGTTTAAGATGACATGGAGTAGCCTGTGTTCCCTACAGGAATGGATGAAGAAACTGGTTTCCAGGGACTTGGATGGATTTGGAATAAATCTGTGTGTTTAAGTTCTACCTAACTTAGTTTTTCCTTTTGTAATTGAGAATCTCACCAGACTTGATGTAGCTGGTGTGTGCAGAGGGGGAGAACTCTAAATGTTAGACTGATGACAGCTCCATTTAAAGCCACATTTGTTTAGGAATGGATGGCATTAAACTTCCTCAGTGCTTCTCCAGCCTCCCTGTGCTTCATTTCAAAACTCCACCTATTTTCTCACTTGGTTTTATTTAAAATTAGAAGAGATAAAGCAGCCAGTGGAGACAAGAGATCTGTTAGCAAGTAAAAAAGATCAATGCCATTGAACTGAGGTAGAATCATCAAGGGTGGAAGAGGCCTTTAAGATCATCAAGTCCAACCATTAACTTGTCATTATCACTGTAACCCCTAAACCACATTCCCCAGCACCAAATCCAGACACCTCTTAAACACCTCCGGGGATGGTGACTCACCCTAACAGTGGTAATTTTTTCACTAATTGTCTCATCTAAGGGTGGGGGGCCCCCGGCCCAGGTTGCCTGGAGAAACTATGGATACCCCATCCCTGGAAATGTTCAAGACCAAGTTGGATGGGGCTCTGAGCAGCGTGGTCTAATGAAAGGTGTCCCTGCCCAGAGCAGTGTGGTTGGAACACGAGTACCTTTGTGCTCTGCGATTCTTTCGTAATCGAAAGATTATTAAGGTCTCAGCCCGAGGCCCTTTCCCCTTGTCCCGTCGCTGCGGGCACCTCACTACGCCCCCTCCTTTCAGAGAGCTGGAGGTCTCCGTCTCCAGCCTCCTTTTCTCCCGACCCAACCCCCCCATCTCCCGGGACAGAGCCTGGCTGGGCAAGCTCCAGCTCGTTTCCCGGCGGGAACGCTCGAGGTTCTTCTCCCTCCCTGGGGCGGGCGCGGGGCCTGCTGTCCCCGGCAGCCTGGGGCTCCCCGCCCTCCGTGTCCGTCTGTCCGTCCCTCCCTCTGTCCGCCCCATCCGGCGCGGCCGTGACGCCGCGCGCGCCCATTGGGCGGTTCAAGAGTCGCGGGCTACTTGAACGGCGCGGGCGGCTCCAGGCGCGCCCGTCCCCGGCCCCGCCGCTCCGGCCCCGCCGTCGCCTCCGCCGTCGCCTCCGCCGCGCTGCCCCCCCGCTCCTGCCGCGGCCATGCTGGCGGAGCAGGAGAACCAGGAGAACGTGCCCCCGCCGGCGGCCGGCAAAGCCGCGGCGGCGCCGCCCGCCGCCGGCACCCGCGTGGCGCTGGGGCTGCTGCGGGGAGCGCAGCAGCGCGCCGGGATCCCGCTGCAGGTGAGGGGGGAGCGGGGGCTGTGGAAGGGGCAGCGGCGGGAGCTGTCAGGGCCGGGCGCTGACGGCCGCTCTCCCCACAGGCGGCGCGGGGCGGCTGCGAGGGCCATGGAGCGGCGGCGGGGCTGCAGCAGCAGCATCAGCACCAGCCCTTCTCCATCCATGTGGACGAGCCCGACGGGGAGCGGGAGCCGCGGCGGCAGCTGGGCGTCCCGGCGGGGCAGAAGGAGGAGGCGGCGCTGGGGCTGCGTGCGGCCGTGTGCACCCTGGGGGAGCGGCGGCCCCTGGCTCCGCTGGGCAACGCCATGGAGCTGAGCTTCGGTACGTGAGAGCCCGGCGCCGTGCAGGCCCCGTCCCACCTGCTCCCCCTCAGGGCCCGGCTCCTCAGCCAGGGAATGGTTTGCAGAGGGGAAGGAGAGCTGTGGCTTGGGACGCAGGCTGGTTTGGCTCCTTTGAGCCTGCCGCCGGGATGCAACAGCTCTTCCGTGCGGCTGAGCCTCTGCGTTCTTATCCCCTGCTGTTTTAGGCCGTTTTATAATTTATAACTTTAGCTCTCAGTACCTCATGAGAGAAGCCAGATTACAGACAAGATCAGTCCATAAAGCCTTGCCCTTTGCTACCATTACAGAGTTAAAGGGGACTTTACCCAGGCAGATCCCAAGATGTAAAAGGTTTTTCTGCCGGGTAGTGGTGCAAGTGTTGTGAGCTCTTGCCAGTATGTGAAAAAATGGGAACTGCCAGACCCATCTTCTGTAGCACATGTCTGAATATCTGGGAGCTCATTTTTCTGTGATCCGCTTCTGCAAAAAAACCTCCTGCACCCCTGCTCTGTTGTAAACCACAATCTAAGCTTGCAGGATCCACATCTATGTTACAAGGTAACACAGGGTGCATTGAGCACTACATAATTGCAAGAGAGTTTTCCATCTCTTTATTCTTAGCGGGAAAAGGAGAAAGGGCAACAGGGAAGTTTCCCCTTCCCCTAACATTTCACTTCTGTAGAGCCTCCCCAACTCCCAGTCTAGCTGAGTGAGCCTGCACAAGGTTCCCTGTGCTGTGAGGAAATGATGTGAGCAAGATGGTGCCCATTTTAACATGGCTGTTATCCTCTGCTTAGATTCTCCAAGTATTATGGATATTTCAATAACCTCAGAAACAGAAGAAAAAGCACCAAATGTTAATAACGTGCCAGACTATATCAATGAAATCCATACGTACCTGAGGGAAATGGAGGTGAGCTGCTGTCCCTTTTCTTATTTGCATACAGCCCATGGGGGAAGAGTTTGGGATGAAGAAATGTATCTGAGCGTGAGTTACCAAGACAGTGACTAAATTAGAGCTTGCTAGAGGAGAAATAAGAGCACAGGACTGGTTCATTGTGATAAAGTTTATTGTGCCATGCACAAGCTGGAAAGCAAGATTACAGAAATAGAACTTACTGATCCTAAACTCACCAGTGTTTACTTCTGATTTGTTAAACTGTGATAAATGGAGTTAAAACAGTAGCTTCCCTACCAGCACATGGTCCATCCTCAACTTTATCTGTCATCTAAACCTACAGGTGAAGTGCAAGCCCAAAATAGGTTACATGAAGAAGCAACCTGATATCACAAACAACATGCGGGCTATTCTTGTGGACTGGCTGGTGGAAGTTGGAGAAGAATACAAATTACAGAACGAAACCCTGCACTTAGCTGTAAATTACATTGATAGGTTTCTTTCTTCCATGTCTGTTTTGAGAGGAAAACTTCAGCTTGTGGGTACTGCAGCTATGCTGCTTGCATCGTAAGTGAAATTGCTTCATTTCGGGTTCCACCTACTGGTTTTGTACAGATGAAAATCTTGTGGCTGTTCTGTTGCCTAGAGCAGGACTGACTTGGGAGGGCTTCACACTAGGATAAAAATCAGAAGTTATCCACCTAAAATCTTGGCAGTTGTCTTTGAAGTCTGCCCCTAAAATGAGGATCTGTTATTTCCAGCTATAGCAGCCAGTATCTAAAACAGTATTTGAGGCAATATGCATAAGGCATGTGAAAAGAAAGTTGTGCTTGCCCTAGTTGCTAATTCAGTGGGTTAGTCTGGAGTTTCAGTGACTCCAAGTACTAAATTCCTCAGTCCTGAATTATCATGCTGTTGTAGCTCTCTAATTTCAAATCCTGGTGATTCAAGAGCTACTGAACCAACTGCAGCAAGCTTGTTTGGCATCAGTGCCCAGCTCCTTGCCAAGTCAGAATTTAAATGAGCCTTTCATTAAGTGCTGGTGGTTTTCTAGTACTCAGTTGTTTACTCATAAACGTTTCTCCTGGCAGAAAGTTTGAAGAGATCTACCCTCCTGAAGTAGCCGAGTTTGTCTACATCACAGACGACACCTACACCAAGAAGCAGGTCCTAAGGATGGAGCACTTAATTCTGAAGGTTTTGTCATTTGACTTGGCAGCTCCAACAATCAACCAGTTCCTCACCCAGTACTTCCTACACCAGCAGACAGATGCTAAAGTGGAGAGCCTGTCAATGGTAAGTAGGAATTACTAGCTCAGCTCATATAATCAGTGTTTTATTGCAGGTACTTATTGCACAGGTATGTATAACATATATACACCTTATGAATTGTGCTCCTCCAGAAGTGGTGTCCCACTGCTGGGAACTAACACTCCTATTGCCACTTTCTGTTTGGGATGCTCCATTCTTATCAGAGGCTGGCACTTGGCCTGGCTCAAGCATGCACCCTTACTCAGAGCAGGCAGAGATTAATGAACTTGAAATTGGGGCTTGTTGCACTGCTACACAGATGTTTCCCTCTCTCTTATCTACAGCTGCCACACTTACCCCCACACACACTTTGGCAAAAAAGGACTTTAGGTTTGGTTTTCTCCTCAACCAGCTGCAAGCTCTAAATCCAGAGGCTAATTTCTAGAGCAGAGCACAGGTAACATTTCATCTGAAGTTATAGTAAATCCTAGCTGTATGCTAGGTACCAGAGGTCCTAAACATAGGCCTTTGTCTCACTGTGCAGGGGTCAGATCTGACTACAGGTTTCCCTTTAATTCTTATATGTTTGTAAATATAAAATGTGCTGGGAAAGCATGGTTGGGAATGCTTTTTGACAGTAGCTAGCAGGAGATGCTTAAGGAGAAAGTAAGTGGAAACTGATAAAAGCTGTCCTTCCAACTGATGGCAGGATTGGAAGCTCAAGTTAGGGTTCTAAAGCAGCTGTTAACTTTTGGAAGCAGATGATTCCCTTTTTCATTTCCCTTGCAGTACCTGGGAGAGCTGAGTCTAATTGATGCTGATCCTTACCTGAAATACTTGCCATCAGTTATTGCTGCTGCAGCATTTCATCTGGCAGATTACACACTCACTGGACAAGCCTGGGTATGTAGCACTCCAGCGTGAGCCTTCAAGAACCTCTGTGTGTGTTCAGTGTATTTGTACACAGTTCTGAGTGCTGGGCCTAGGCTGCAGGAATTGCAGCCCCTCTGTGCTCCTAGGCTGTTAATTAGGGATTGCTCCCTGTGGCATTTGAAAAATGGGATGGGGGGGGTGAGGTAAATATGGTTCAACAGGAAGCCAAAAACTCTACCACTGGTGATCAGCACAAGTGAACAGCAACATTCCAATGTCCCTCACCCTTTTGTTTTTCCCTTCAGCCTGAATCCCTGTGCAAAGTAACCGGCTATACCCTTGAAGACATCAAGCCTTGCCTCATAGACCTGCACAACACCTACCTCAAAGCAGCCCAGCACACACAACAGTCCATAAGGGAAAAGTACAAGAGTACCAAGTGAGTATCTGTGGAGGTGTTAATGTCTGAGTTGTCCAAGCATGTAACTGCCTGGCAGGGTGTGGGATGTATCTTTTGAGCCTTCAGGCAGACTCAGCTAACCAAATTCACCTCTTCAGTGAGAGGGTGACAAGACTCCTTGGGGTTTTTACATTGTGGTTTGTCAGGCAGTACTTGGTGTACTGTGAGGTAGAAACTGGAGGAATTTTCTTGATATTCCTACAGTTGGTGATACCTAATGCTCCTAAAAATCTGTGTGGGGCATGGCAGCCAACAAGCCCCAGAATGTTTCCTGCCTGGTAGGAAATGTGCTTTACTGCAGTTATGCTGCTCTTTGTGGCAAAGAGCACTTGAGCAAGATGACATCCTGCCTCTTTTGTTCCCTCTCTAGGTACCATGGAGTATCGCTCATTGACCCACCAGACACACTAAACTTATCGTAATAATCAAGAGACTGATTTTTAAAGAGATGTATATTACAAGGAAATGATGTACAGTTTTAAACATGGTTCAGGATTCTAGATGTGATCACTCAAAATATGAATACAGGCTTTGATGACTTCAATTATGAAGTTTTGTTTCATGTGGTTTTAATGTAAATCTTTTGTACATGCAATCTTGTTAAGAGTTTTAGCTGTTTTTTTATCAAAATGTTCTCTTCAGGCACAGAATTAACCATGCAGGCCACGTGAAGTCTGAGACTGCTTATCTAATTATAGACTAAATGTTAATATTAGCAGTGCATTATTATAGTAGGGCTTTTTCTCCTTCTGGGTGAGAAAGATTTGGTCTCCACAGAGTATCAGTAGCATTTTTATTCTGTCTAGTTTAAACTGAGACTTAGCATAGATCCAAAACGTTGCCTTAATGGCTATAAAACTGGAAGAAACTCTATGGCCATGAGAAGAACTCCTTGCTGGAACTGACTCATGAGGCTGTTTAGGACGTGCCCCAGTTGCTGTATAATGTAGTGCCAGATCTTCATCAGGAGAAAGGCTGAATGCTCTGCTGCAGGGACTGCACAGTTAAAACCCCTGCACCAGTTCATACCTCACGCTTCCGCTACGCAGAAAACGGTCTTGCTGTCAGTATTTTCTGGTCCAAGTGTAAAACTGATACTAATCTAAACCCGTGGAGTTTCCATTGATGTGCTGGCTGTCCCAGAAGTCCATGGATGCCTACTGAGAAAATTAGTCCTCCGTCTGCTCACCATGTACCTCTTTAGGGGTGGTGGAAGGGCTAAACTCCAGTGGGTGAACTGCTGCTCTGTGGCCTCAAGAGCAGGGAATGTCTTCTGACATGGATGGGCTGCGTGCAGAGCAGCAAGAATTCCATATGCCCCTCATGCTTGGGAGGAGCTCCTCTCTGGCACACAGCAAAAATGTGCCATGTTTTTCCTTAGTTCTGGAACTGTTACATAAGCAAACTGGCATTCAATCAGCATTAGATCAAGTGGATGTTTACTTTCAGCCTGTGTAAATGGAGTGATGCTGCCCTGTACCACTGCTGTTGGCATGTAAAGCAGCGAGTGCACGGAAGTGGGCTGAATTGAGCCATTTCCAGGTTGGCTAATAAACAGTTTTTGTATCTGATGTTAGTGGTCTTGCCAATAGCTTAAAATCACTGAGGGGTAGTGCTGTCATCTGAAATTGGCATTCATTTCTAAAGCCTTTTGGCAAGGGCTGCCCTGTGAAACCTGTGCCTCTTCGACTTGAAGTTGAGTTGGTGCTGTCTCTGGTTATCTGGGCACCCAGCACTATAAACTCCTCCTCACAGATGTCCAACAGCTGCTAGGGTGTGAGCTATTTGAAATAATTTTTTTTAATGGTTATCTCTGTCAGGCTGAGCAGCAGCAGTTAATGAGAACAATCTCTGTGTCACCTCAGCAACTACAAAGTTAGTACTCTGCTCCCATCCTTGTGCTCCTGCCTGAGCCTTCCCTGAACCACCTCAACTACAAAACCAATGGAGTCGAGTGGTGATCAAAATGCTGGTTGAAATCAGCAGCAGGAGTTTGGCCAATCTGATCTTCTTAGGATGCACTTGGACTTATGAAGAACCGTATTTCATTAGCCAACAGCCTTATTTTAGATGAATTTCAGTGGGCTGCTACTGAAATGCTAAAATGAACTTGGGACAGCCTGTGCAGTTTATCATGTCTGGTGCTTGGGGTTAGAAACACTTTAACCTTGCAGGAGAGGGAGTTTGCATAGGGAGGAGTGTTTTTCACTGTTTGTGACCTTGGAAGTGCAACTGGCAATGCTGACTGGTAGCAATTACTTGAAGGTTACAGGCAACAGTGCTCTTCCTGGGAAACTGGGTTCTGCCTTCCCCTTCCTTTCTGTGGTGTATTCCAAGACCACTGAGAAATACCAACTTTGGAGGGGTAATTTAAAAGGAAGCTTATGAAGTATTTTCTCCAGAAAAAAAGTAGCAGTAGGTGAAGAGACTTCAGTGGGTTTTAGTATTAATTTAGTGCTTAATCAAAGAGCTGTGCTCAAGTTTCAATGGAATTTGTTCCCTTACTGTTCCCGTACCACAGAAAAATTCCATGCTCCCTAAGCTTTATTTTCACCATTATCAACACAACTTCTGCAGCCTAACAAAAAATCTTGTCAGGAGCTGGCATCTCTGCCCACAATGTTCCTCCTTCCTCAGGGTAGCTCTTGCTTCTGCTATTAAATGCTATCTTTTTCCACCTTCTCATTTTCCAAAGTTAATATGGGAAAATTCCAGCTTCTGCTTCTAAGCCTTGAACAAAATATCCCAGGTTGTACTGTACTACTGTTAAGCCTATCCAGGTTAACTTCTTTCCAACTAAAGGCTCTAAGGAATACAGGGATGCTATGTGTGAAGAAGGGAAAAACAGCAGTGCAAAAAATACTGTTCTTTTTTCTGAAGAAGTTTACAGTCTTGTGGTACTACACAACTAAAAAGGAACTGCATCTTCACCTATTTTTGTACTCAGGACAGTGACTTTGGGTTGGAAGAACTGACACTAAGAAAATGCACTGGTTTCGCTCCTGGAGAAAAGAGGTTTCGTGTGTTGGTCCCTGCCTGAAAGAGCACAACTTGACTCAAGCTTTGCCTGGCTGGGAGCAATGTTATATACATATGGTTTGGGGTTTTGGTTTTTTGGTTTTTTTTTTTTACATTAAGATTCCAGAGTGCTTGGGGGAATGGGAATGTAAAATCTGTAACAGTAATTTCTCTCCTGTTCACAGCTCATGTAACACTGAGGTCACCTGTAAAATAGCCCTGCTTCACTTTGTAAATATGTGTGTGTTTCCAGGGTCCCTTGTTTGCAAACAGTGCCCAGATCAGGTATTTTGCAATCCTCCTTGTCTCTTTGTTGTGCCTGATCCTAAATTGAGAGATAACTCTTTGCCTATAGTTCAAGCAGCATTCCTGTCTGTTGCATGTAATATTTAATTAAACATTTAACAAAACTCCACTGCTGAAGTTCTGTGCTAGTTTGTTAAGTCCAGGCATTTCTGGTGATTTTCATAGTGTTTTCAAAGTGGTTTGAGTACAAGGTAAGATGTGGAGTAATAGGCAAGAAGGTTTTAATCACAGTACATTGATTTTCCCCTGTGAAGAAAGCTGAACTAGGTGCATTTTTGCTGCACCTGGATGCCAAACCTAGGATTTCAGTTACAGGCACCTTTTTTATTTAAATCTGTGTACAATTGTTTAACATATACATAAAAGCAGAACCAAGTATTGGGAGGGGAGGAAATAAAATTATCTACAAAAATAAGCTCAGTAATAATACACCAAAATCCATATTATATAGTGTTCCTGGAGGAGGGCTGATGGCTTTAACGAGAAGTTCTCTTCTTTCTTCTCTTTTTGTTAAATGCTTTCTTACTTGGATTTTCTTGTTTGGAGCTTGTCTGTGTTCTGTCAGCAAACAACAGTTGTATCAGAGAAGCATACTGAACAGCTTTTCAAAATAACAGAGGCTGATTATCCATAACTTGGCAACTACCCACCATGCCTGGGGCCAAGGTGTACGTTAATCTTTTGGAAATGCACTAACAACAAGGGTTTCCATGGATACAGCAGCAAATCTCACTTCTTGGAGATAAAACTCAACATCAGCTGTAGTACAGTACAGGTAATGTCTGCAGCCTCTGACTGAGATCCACTTGTATGCTCTCACTCCCTCTGGAAGGACTAAAACAAGTCAAATAGCCAAAACCATCTCAGGCAGCTGCAGGCCAGCCAGGCTCTGGCCTCCCAAAACAGAAGACCAGAGATTTAGCCTAGATTTAAATTTCCTTGCTCTCTATCTGTATTCCCTTTGATCCACTGAAATCTTTCTTGGCCTTGTCAAAATTCTGTCCTTCCTGGTAATACTCCTTACAAACTCTTTTCCCCTCCCAATTCCACTAGCTGGTTACCTTGTTTTCCTTGGTAGTTCCTGTGGTTCCAGAATGACAACTTCTTCCTCTTCACTGTCAGACAGTACAATGGGCTCCTCTAAAAAACACACAAACCCCACCAACCCCAAACTGCTGGTCAGTTTTGTACAAACAACCCCTGTAAATAATAACCACAGCATTTTTAAATAGAGGGGCTACTGATTCATTTGGAGCCCTCCCCCTACTACAGAAATCAAGTTTTGAAAAGAACTGACTGGGTCAAGTGGAATTAGCAAATGTGTGAAATGGCTACAATGGTTCTTTCCTCCTAGAGACCTTTCACAATTTAATTATTAACTGTAATGAAGTGATATAATAAGATTTGATATAAAGAAAAACAAATACTTACTACTCTTAGTTTCCCTCAGTGTACTTGTATCCTCAGTCTCCATTTTCTCACATGCAAAAGCAGCCACCTCACTTTCACCTTCCTCTTCTGCTGCTTCTTCCTTCTCAGATTCTTCAAGGTCTCCCCAGGAGCTCTCTATTCCTTCCCCAATTTGGGCTGTCCCAGGAGTGTGCACTACTGGACTGGCAAAACTGCAGGAGTTAAGAAAAACCTTGGTGTTTGCTGGTAAATTTCTTTGTATTCTGAGAGCAAACCAGGTGGTTCATAAGCCGGGCAGAACAGCCCTAAAGGGGAGTTCAGAGTGCCACTTCTCCAGTCACTGTAATAATCACAGTTCTGGCCTCAACTCTGCCCTTTAGGCAAGGAATTAAAAGCAGACTGAACCAAGACCAGGATGATTATATTTCCTCTCAAGGTTATATGGCTACCTAAGCTATGAGGAATCTCAGATGAGTGTTTAGCCTGGTTTTCCCCTGAGCAATAACCTGGAAAAGATACACTTCTGAAGGAGGGTCAGCTTTCGCAATGATTTCTCCAGCCTGTTCTTCCACGTCGCTGGTGTCCACAGCAGCACTCTCCATTTTGAAGGCAGTGATCCTTTGGTTGGGGATGGACTCTGCAAAGCCAAACTTCCCACCTTCTTTCCTGCTCATTCAGTGACAGACATTATTTCAGGATAATCCAAAATTGGTTCTCTTTTCAAGTTCTAATATACAAATGCTTGCTATTTAAAGCAAATACAAGTGAAGACAATTTGCTGCTGAAACCACGATGTACCATTAGTTTAGTTTACTACATTTCCTAAAAACCCCCATTTCTGTCCCTTCCCAAAACACTCACCTGGCTTTTTGGTCATTTTCCAAGGCTTTCTGAATCAGTTCTGTTATTTCTGCGACCTTAACAGCTGTTATTTTACTGCACCTCAGAATCTGTTTGTTACACATACAAAAAGCAGCTTACAACCAGGAAATCGATAAAAGTTTTTAACTGAAACTACAGAGCATCATAAGTATCACAAACATTTAAATCACAGGAATTACAAACACAATATGGCACCTCAGCATGAGGACTGGATTCACTGAGACATGCAAAATATTTAACAGCCTCCAGAGTGCAACTGGAAATAATTTGCAGGCTTTTTCAGCCAAATCACAGGGAAAATAACAAGATGCTTATCTGACCAAAAACTATGCATTTTCTACATCCCTTCTGCAGCATGGTACACAGTACTATGCTCTTCCACTAAAAAAAATTACATATTTTCCAATAAAATCAGAGTTGGTAGATTCCTCAGCTTCCAAATGTCATGGATATTTCCACATCAAGACTGCAGCACAGGAAGCAGTCTATACACCACAGAAGGACTGGTCAGAGCAAAGGTTTACCTGATCCTGCAGCAGCATGACCACTCCACTGGACTGGATGGTACAAATTTCATGGTGTTTGTTCATGGCAATTACGAGGAGCCCATCCATCACCCGCTCCTCACGTTCAGTTGGATCCACCAACAAATAGGTCCTAGAACCAAGGTTTGAAATATGAGGCAACAGTAGGAATTCGAGGCATCTTACTACCCTTAAACACAATTAAACAAAGGAGTTGGTTTGCACATTAATAACTAGGGGTATACAAGGTTTATACCCCTTATGTGGGTACATAAGACCTCGAAATCTTACCCTTGGTGGAAGAAGGCAAAACTGACACAAATGGGCATGTGGTGGATACTCAAGGGGACAGGATCACGCTCCTCAGGAGTGTACTTTGAAAGGAATTGGCCCAGAATACAGTTATTTATGAAACTAGTTTGATTTTAAAATGACAAAAGAAATTTCAGGAAATTAAAAAAAAAACCACAAAAAACCAAAAACAACTTACCACAGTTACTTCCTCTCCTTGCACAGACACATCTGGCCTGCGGAAATGACACAGAGCTACAATCCCTGCTATGCTGGCAGCATCAGTGATGTTGCCATCATGGTTTAACAGGTGCATGTCCAGCCGAATTTGCCAAACCTGACAAAAACACAAAAAATACAAAACTGTGTTCTACTGTATTCTACATAAATTCTACAGAAGTTGTGGTTGTTTGTTTTTTTTCCAAAACTAGTTCATTTTTTTAACCAGAAAAAGAGCCAGTATATTTTCCTTAGGTCTTTGATTAAGATGAGAGACCTTGGTATATTTGAAGATAGCCAGATTTAATTATGACAAAGTATGTAGCACTTCAGCACAATTTAAACACCATTCTGTAGGGTCCCAGCTACTTCAGAAAGCCTATGTAGACATGCCAGTTAAAAATACCTCTCAAATGAGGTGAGCAGATCTTTATATTCACCTAAAATCAGTACTTCTACTATACAACACAAGACAGAGACCAACTTAAAATTGGACTACACGTATCTTTTAGTTTAAACCCACCAGAAATGAAATTTTCCTACCTTTTCACCAGCAACAACGCAGAGAGATTCAGTCTCAATGCATTTGGAATCCCTGAGGCATCGCTCCAGTAATCTGTTCAGTGACACCAGTAACTCGGATTGTCTGTTGGAACAAAATTAACCCAAACTCAATATTTTTGCAGTGGCTTTTATGCCATCCCTGTTTAGTCCATTTAAGGCATTCATTACCTGCCAGGCTCCAGCCCAGGTGCAGCCATGGGTGAGAGTTCCAGATTAAAGAAGAGCACACCTTCCGTGGGCCGACTGGGCTTAGGGGGAACGAGTTCACACGAGACCTGTGCAAGAACCCTGCCAGGGCAAATAAAGCATCAAGCCACAGAACATACCAGGGAAAATCTAGAAACAAAACACATACTTGGGGGAAAAAGCATGTGGTTAAGGTTCTGGTTTGTAATTCTCACTCCTGACAGTTTCTTGTTCAACACCTGTCATACATATTTAAACTCCGGTCAACAACTGAAAGAGCCAAATGTTAAGAACTAGAATATACTCCTGTCTTTTAAGACTAAAAATTGACTGGAATACATGAGACACAGCCATGAAAACTGTAATGAAATATTTATGTCAATGCATATATTTCACTTTTACACAGGAAAAAAAAGGGTCGTTTGGTTTAGGGAAGAATGCAAAATGCGAGATCACTGAATAAAGGGATAAAAACTCGTGAACAATTTTGCATTATATAAATTATTTGTAACTACAACCATCACGCAAACACCATTCTTTTCCCACTTCCTTCCTTTCCATCTTCTCCTCTTTGCTCCTACCCTTGAAATATTACGACTTTAAGGTTAAAATGTGTTTTACGGAGATCTCTGCAGCCGTGGGGACCTCAGGCTCCACCTAACCCGGCCCCGGGGCCCACCTGGTCCTGCCCAGCTCCACCATGCAGCAGCCGCGGTCGGCGCCGAAGGAGACGCGGATGTTCCGGTAGTCGTAGCATTGCCTCCCGTCCAGGCGCTGCGGGAACACACGGACACACACATGGAGAGTGGAGAGGGACAGGGCGCCATGCCCGGCATGGAACGGCACCGCGGGGGGGGGGAGAAGTTTACAGTCT